CCTTACACCCAGTCTATATCAACGTAAAAACACGTCCGCGAAAATGGACTTCTAAGTATATTTCTCGGTAATTTCCGCATGTGCATCGGCCCCGTTCGGTTTTTATTTACCAAACCTGACCACCCAGTCACGTTTTGTAACGTTGTCTTCGTTCCACTTAGGACACCTTATAATTCATTTCTCCCGGCTGTCACACAGGACACTTGCACCTGATCGCAGTTGGACATTGTTTCACAGTGGAATAAGGTCGTTTTGTCGAACGGTGTGTCGTTAGCTCGTGTAAATCCTCGATGTTCTGCGAGGAAACTGGCTACACGCCACGATCATTTTCACCAGACAAACCCCGTGAAAATTCTTTTTCGTCCGCAGGATGCTCTCCTGGGTGCCGTTCAAACGGCAGCGCGTCTACCATCCCAAAGTCGCGTTCGACGGTTATGAGGATAATTTACTTAAAATCATCCCCAAGGTGGTATGTGTGGGAATCAGACCCATGTAAGTATTCTTTCCTATCTCTTATCTTGTGCTTTCGACAGTGTTTAATCCAGTTCTTTTTGCTGAGTTCAATGGAGACTATTCTAGCGAACAATATGGCGTCACTGTCGGTTTCGATAATGAAGATTGTATGAGTATACGAGAATTGCTTGAAATGATAGGTTGTAAGATTATTTTCGGGAGCAATGTTTATTTATTCAAAGAAATTACTTATTATCCGGAATTTTTAACAAAATAGCAGATTGTTAAAAAATTATACTTTTAACATTTTTGTAGAATAATAAGTCTCTCGGGGGAATATTCATTCCTTCATGAATTACTCATTATTTATAACAGATTTTTACAGTAATACCAGTAGTGAGTAGGTGTCAATAATTCATTTTCAGTCCTTTGATGTTCATTTAAGATGTTTTGAAACCGATATCAAAACTACGATTATGAAGGTTAGTCGTTTCATTTGATTTTTAATGTCGTTGTTGATATTCGATTGAAGATTCTCAAGGATCAAATTACAAATTGTCTTAGCAAGAAGATACCATTTCCATGTTTCATTCGATGAATTGTCAGAAATTGTTTCTAAGAATTACCCTTATCACTGATTGTTCGTCTGTCTCATGTTCATTGTTAGTATTCCACTCTGATCTGTTTCAATTTTAGCAGAAAATAATAAAATCGGAGCTGAATGCATACTTCTGTCGCTTGTGATTATACTTTGTCTATCGAAGGCCACTTCCAAGTTATTGTTAAACTCTAAATTTTAAGAAAATATATATATGAAGATAAGAAAATGTGCGAATACATACTCAGGTTACAATCACAACCATCCAGGAGCCAATTATCATTAATTATTATATCCAAGTCTTGTTGATGCTTGAAAAGTAATCACTCTTATCTCCAAGATCTCTAACATCGCAATGATTTCTTCGACACCTCTAATATCCACGGAAAATTACTCAAACCAGTCACCCAACGCAGATTTTTCTACCGCATTGAGCAGAAAATGGGAGATAATTGAAAGTACAGTGGTCCTAATTACAACGTCGAGTGTTAACTGGCAAAATTATACTCGAATACCGGACAACGATCGTCGAAAACAATTATAGCGTCACTGGGCCGCATACAGGGTTATTTATACTGATGTCATAGTAATTTTCACTATTAATAAAACGCGTTAATGGACACTCGCTATCTTATCACGGTATTTTAGCAATTAATACACCACAATAGAGTGCAGGATGTCAGATTTAAAGCATCGCAATCCTTGGCTGACGGAAACCGCAGTATCATTCCCTGGGGAATCACACTTATCTGGCTCTTTATACAGGATACTTCAAAATATACGGGAACTGATTTATAGGAATATTTTATAATGATAAGAAAAATAATGTGATAAAAACACGAACTTTCGAAACAACTACTTTCGAAATACTTTTAGTCGATGACAAAAGAAAGAAAAATCTAAATAAAGAAAAAGAAATTAAATTTTTTTAAATATAGTTGTTTGACTTTGTCAATTTTTTAAAGTTGTTCATAAAAGTGATAGTATTGATGGAATGATGAAATAAATGATGTAACAGAACATTGAAATAGAAATGGTAGATACAACGGTATTATAATCACAATAACAAAGTATCTGTAATCACGTGAAACGTGACGCATACAGAATCTGGTCCAGTCAGAGGAATTTTAACGAGTCACCGACCCGTGACTTCTTTCACTTTCTTATCGCGGACGAAATTCGTTAGGGCGAAACGGGGAAATTCTGAGTTAGACGGACCAGGAAAAAATTTCCGGTGCCCCCTACTCCGTTTGTGTTCACCTTTGTGGTGTTCCCTCTAGGTAGACATTTAATGTGGTGACTGTTTAGTCCCTCGCTTTCATGCACACGGCTCACACGCGAAGCAGTGCGCGTTAATACGGTCGACAATCGAAACGTGAATTCTATAGTAATAAAATCAGCATTATAATTTTGTCAACAGAAACAAATTATAATATATTAAATTCAGGAAAATAATAGAAGAATTTTTTTCAAAGATCAAGACGAAGAAGATTATTACTATATCAAACCATACGCTGGCCTCATTGATATTTACAAAATTTTAATATACGACAGTGAATAATGTACATTTCAACAGTGTCGATTAAACTGCGAACATATTAGAAACAATATTATGGGCGTAGTGATCGGGTTTAATTTAACAGTAACTTCTTGCAACAATGTTGACGGGTTTGGTGAAGCTGAGACGTCGACGTAGGAGGCCATCGAAACGCGCGAACGTCAAACCAGATTTCGAAAATCGTAAAAAGAGTTCGATTGTTTGGAAAGAGGAGTATTTGAAAAATGAACGTCTCTCGATCATGACCGACGATGAGCCTGACTTTTGCGTGTCGAATCATTATCGGGGAAAAAATAATCTCAAAACGACAACTAATTCTTCCGCGACTCTATCCTCTAAGAACTCTACCAATTCGTACGTTATAGTCGCTACCGAAGAAAAACCAGTGATTTCGACCTCAAATTATGAAAATATAAGTCACGATGATATTACGGAAAGTGTGAATTTGAATAGTGCGTCACAGAAATATTGCAGTCCGAAATTCAGTGGTGCGTGGTATTCGAAATTCAGGCGTCATGTGCTGAAGAGCTTACGAAACAAAATTTGCCCGGCATCGGTGACAGGGTGAGTTAGCAGAAAAAAATTCTCGATCATTATTTATATAGCAGAAAATAAAATCAGTGACGGAAAATGAAGTTTAATTTTTATGGTGTTTGTACTTAAGAATTATGAAATCAAAGTTGAATTGTTTTTATACATGCTAGATTTTTTATACTGGAAATTTACTCTAATTTATATTGACATATTTTGGATTATAAAGAATATCCAAACTGTAAGTGACAAATCAGTTTTTTAACAAGTTGTATGTTAGCTATACACCGTGAAATAACGATTCAGTTTTCGTGAGATATACAACGTGTTTGTTCTGAATGGAAATTAGTGAACCATAAAAATTTTCATAAATATGATCGCTAGTTATGCATTCTGAGTCATATGGTTGTGATATATATCTACGTATCAATGTATGTAAGTTGAGGCACGGTATATTCATCCTTTTCGATGCAATCATTCGAAGGGTGAATTTGTAAATTTGATTATTTTAAACAGTTTCGCATGTTTATCGATCCAACAGAAATAGATATACGTATATCGTTTGGTATTGGTGGTGTTGGTGGCTTACTACACCGGGTATATACCGTAGAATCAAATCGATTTGACTAAACGGTGTCGTTGTCCCGTAATAAGTTGCCAGTCCTTTATCTAGTATAGTGAGATAAATCGACGGATGTTCCTTACGATAGTGCACTTCTCACGGTGCTGCACGTGGCTAAGGGAGTTTAAAGACCCACGGCACACCGATGGAAAAGCCGGCAGTCGGTGTTTACGCGGGGAAACCTGCCTGGGTGAGTCATCCAAGTAAATGACAACGGGCTGGTAACGCTCGCGTGCCCACCGTCGGACAACAATAGCCGAAGCAGTCGACTATCCACGGAATATTTAATTCTTCGAGAATTTCGAAACCAGAATTACGGTTCCTCGGACACTGTCGAAATTTTAATACAATCGAATTTGAATTGTGATTATAGTATTCTGTCCTGCTTGGCTAAATTGAGGGGTGGTCATTAAACGTGATTTTTAGATCCTAAAGATGAGAGTTCTTTGGTTCTAAAATTGACTGAAAGTTAATAAACGCGTTGAGTATTAGAACAGTTCAATTATGAAGTGAACTTTGATGTTTTTAAAGTGTTAGACATATACATTTGTTAGGAAATAGCGATAAAAGCAGTAGAGAATATGTAATACATAGGAAACATCATTTTAGCAGTCAGAACAGGTGTCCTAACACGTAAAGGAGTATGTGTCTAATCTAGTCCAGAGGTAAATAGAACACGATCCCTGTATTTGAAAATCAAATGCATTTTACTAGCTGGCTTATCGTTTATATAGAAATTGATTTTCATTATTCTGTACGAATACGAGTCTATTTGTGTGGGCCAACAAAGAGAAATAATATTCTTGGGTCGATGACCATGCGTGCCGATAATACGAAGCCGCGTACACAATAGTTACTAATTACGTATTACTAAAGGGCCTCGAACTTCATTCAGCCCTAAGTACACGGTACGTGAGCCGCAGGATCTTGCGCAGAACGTGCGTAATGGACTTCCGGCGTGCATCGAACCTGAACGCCGCTGGGTTCACACTCTACGATTCGAAACAGCTTTGTGTCTTTCCTGGAAGAGACTTTTTTTTCCAAGCACTCTTTGGAACATCGATTTCCATTTATCGAATCCGCACAATTCGACCTTGATGTTCTCTTTTTACAGTCTTTAAAATATCAATTGACAAAGCTCCATTATTTGTCTATCTGTACACACACACATTTGAAACATAGTTTTCTCATAAAATAATAAAATTGATTATTTTATTTATCATATCTCATTTAATATATTACAAATTTGTAACGTGTCTAATCCAGCGTCGATAGTAAGACACACTTTCATACACTCCTGACACCGTGCCACAATTTTGACCAAAAGATACGATGCCATAAATAGTATTTCTGCTGGCTAATGGACCTCCTGAGTCCCCTGAACAAGAGTCTTTCCCGCGATTTCCGTAACAAAGATGCTGTTGTTTATTTACTAAAAACTCATACTCCGTTGTTTCGTGAATACAGATCTCGTGTGGAACACGGCGAACGTGAACTCCCATTAGAGTATCGCTTATCTTATTCTGTTAAATACAACATAAACATTTCAAAAAGAGACTTCTAGCATGAAATTTCAAAATAAATAATACAAACATGTAAATTCAATATTCGAGTTTAAAATTTCGAAGCATTAATTTTATCTTAATTTGTAAGTACGTCGATTACAATAAAGATTACTAACATTTTGTTGAAAATCCGTGTAACCCCATCCACAAACGTACAATTTCGGAGGTGGACGACTGAACTCGCTTGGCAATCGAACTGCCTGTACTGATTTTGAGAACCGAAAGGGTGGCCGTACTTCGAAAATCGCGATGTCATGATAGTACATGCTAGACCACCAATATAGAAACGTTGTCGCGTTGTAAGCGTGTATCTTTGTTAGCCTGTGCCTCGATCCTCGATAAGGCGCATTCGATCCAGCTCGTACATAATAGTCTGTTGTTCGCTCTGGACTTCTAAGTATACACAGTATAACACAGAATGTAGAGTGAATTAAAAGCGAACGTAAATTCTACAAAAACCACTATTGTAATTTCAGTAATTGTAAAATAAGAATTCTGAAATCGGGTTTGAATATGATTCTGAAATTTTTACATTCTTACACAATTATTCTTTTATTAGTACAAATAGCAAACTCACAGACAATGAAGAGCAGTGATGCCCCATTTTTCAGACAGAATACTGGCACCACATATGAATTCACCAGAGTCGTATAAAGATAACTAAAATAATGAGTGCTATTGTCAAAGTATTCCTGAATTTCTTTAAATAAAAAAGATTGTTAGTACTCACCATGAATGGTCTTCGTTTTATGTCAACGGGATGTCCACCGATAATTCTCGTTTTCGTACTTGTCATCACGTTTTCTACTTTTGTTGTAATAGTCACACCTACGGAAATAAAAAAAGTTTGTCACATATATGTTACTTTATATTCTTTAAAAAGAAGTGTAAAATATTATACATGAGTGTTACAAAATGCATTGTTGTATATGTATGAAAAGAAATAGGATACTTACACAATATGTAGAGAATTGTAGTTGTAGCACGCATTTTACATTACCTACTAACTGCAAGAATACGTTGAATAAATCTGTGTGACAAACTGAGTGCTTTGCATCTTCAAAAGCTATAAATGTCGCGTTGCAATGAATTTTACGAATTTATTGGTATTATTATCTGCACGAACCTAGGCTCGGTGTGTTAAAAAGCGTAACGCATAACGCCATTGATTTACGATGGGACCATATTGCATTCTTCAAATCATAAATATTATACAATTGATAACATTGATTTCATCAATTAACAACATAATACCATACAACATTTGATCTCCGACTTAAAAAAATATATTTTTTTACGAATACGATAATTTAAAATTAGAAATGTTTCACATATATACATATATTTTCATCTTCACTTGATAGTATTATTTAGATATAGTATAATTGTAGAAATAATAATAAAACTTCTGAATATACAGTTACGGCAACATCACATACACATTAAAAGGAGAAGTGAAATAGGCTGTCTGAAATTATGTTTATTTTGTACTAACTCGGTGCATTACAATTACAATGAAATACTTCAATATCTATTTTGCAACGGATTATACATATTTTTATTCATTGCTTCACATCACACAATTTCTGTCGTTACATTTCCATAGACTTTAAAGAATATATATAATCACCCGAAATCGAATCGACAGACTCTTGACGATCGAAACGGATTACCGAACGACGCGTACGCAACGGTTCGTTATCAACATCGAGGGGACGCGTTTCGTTTTTCATTCCATTTTCAAAGCAGAACAAAGTACTGGCAAAGCCCAACGTTTGCATGAACATTGTAACCAGCAGCACGTTGTTCGCCAAACAAGCCAGCATGCTATTGTCGTTCGAACTTTGCTGTCTGCTCAAATGGTTCATGGATTCAATTAAATTGTTCACGGAGGCTTCTGCTTTCTTTAATACAACTGTAAAGGAAACATATTAAAAATGTCAGATACCAAATTTATGAACTAGTAAAACAATAAATTCTTCTTCGATATTAACCTCTGGATCGAGATGGATTTTCTTCTTCCTCGTCACTTCTGAAAAATTCTGAGCTCCAGCCATCATTTTCATTCGATTCTTCCACTGCTGTACTGGTGTCTGTCATTTGCTGTCCGTCTCTACTTCCTTCGTCCGAAGAAAACTCCAATACTCTGTTCATCCAGTCCATCACACACGACAGGATTCTCACGTGGCTCTGCCAGGATTCATTCATAACGTTTTTAATCCCACTGACGAGGAGTTTCTCGAAGTCAGTCATAGAACGATGCAATCCAGAAATTGCTCCGAATATTCTTTCATACATTCCTGTTCTGTAGACTTGTATGGCTTTGGACACTTTCTCCTGCCTGCACACAAACAAATAACTTTACTTATTTAAGTTCTTGCTCATTTACTGAACGAAAATTAAATTCAATCGCACTAACATTCTCGTGGTCTTCTTGTCTTTAGTTCTGAGTACCGAAAGTTTCCGATATTTCCTTAAACCGTTGTCATAAATCGTACAAAACTGGCATAATTCGTTGGCGAACCTTTGACCCCATGGCTTCTTCGCGAAAGTGTCACTAACCGTTTTTGGCGTTTTGCGGGTAGATCTGCAGGTCACTCTGTCATCTCGATTTTTACCTGGGTAAACTTTGCAATCGCTTAACTGCTTGATCGCCTTCATCCATGTTCTATCTGGCACTTTTCTCATTCTATTCTCCGATAGTTGTTTCGTGCTTCGTAGACATTTGTTGAGATTTAGCAGATCTCGAATACAATCGTTGTAATCTGTACCTTGCTCTCCTGTCATCGCGAGGCACAGAAACGCTTGCCACGATTTGTAGGCGGGATTTTTGGGAACATCGTCGTACGAAGTGCTTCGTAAGGTCGACTTGAAGGTCCTCAATGCAACACGTGGAGGATTTCTGGTTATATTTAAAACAGCACGGTTAAGATCGTAAGATGTTTTGCGTCTTTTCATACTTGATACACGGAGCAGGCATTGGGACAACCTTTCCCCAAAGTCTGCTGCGTTGTAGACGACGCCCATAAATTGCAATTCGTCCGATTGACTCCTTGATCGCTGAAATTTCAAAATCTTTCGCTGATTCACTTAACAAATATCTTTATTAATACCTAGTAAGTGTAAATAATCATATACTTTTCTATAAATTACCATCGAGAAATGAAAGTACTAAAACGCAAGGATTATACAAAGATCGAAATAATTCGATATTTCAATTTTCAATTTTACACTTGATTTCAGTCTTTCGACAAACCTGTTTCGTCCGTGATGTCACGTTGCGTTCGCCGAAGTATTGATTAATTTCGTCATCGACTTCGTTGATCATATTACCCACATCTCGCAACAAAAACGCGATCTGTAGTAAAGCTTCGGAGAACCAATCCTCCGAGATCGGAAGCTCACTGGAAGTTTGCTTATACTGTTGAAAGGTGTTGGTCAGATTGCAATCTTTCGCAAACTGCATGAGTTTCTTCCGAATCGAATCGCACATTTCTCGGATCGTCAACTGTAAATTATTCTTCTTCGATCTCAATACAATTGGTCGCTTTACTGGTTCCGCCATCTTGGACAGGAAGCGTTGAATCGATAGTTCCATAATTTTCACCTGTTTCGGGTTAACTAATAGAAAGGAATTGGGATTTTTTCGGATATAATCGGGTAAAATGAGGGAATCATTTCGATCCAAGTGATTAGACACCGAATGCTGTGCGATTGTACCTGTATATAATTATATAAAAAATTATTAAGAGGTTTAATAAGGTATTTTGTTATTTTTAATTGTATACTCACCTAGAAATAACAGAAACAAAATAGATTCGTGAAACATGATGGAAGTTCTGTGTTCCATTCCGTCGTTTCCTTTTACCTGGTTAGCTTCAGGTATATATAATTCTATTTAATTACCGCTACAATCACTTTCGATAATTGGACATGAAATATTGCGGTGTCTTGTCATTTTTCATGTTTCCGGAAGAAATATTCGTAGCTGATAAAGAGTGGCAGTAAAAGTGACTAACGTTAGATAGTGTTCGGGAAGTGTGAAGTAAAGAAGTAAAAATAAAGATGAGGATGGTTAAATGTAAGAATTACTGATTTGTTTGCAACAATGTGTTGTGTTCCATTACAAATAGCAAATACACTATAATTTAACGTCAGTTTTCAGAGACTTATAATATTCATATATGTAAACTATAAAAATTGTATCATAATGCCCAAAAATGCTATGCAACAGTACAAGTTAAAAATGGCGGAGGCCGCAGGTAATCTCTCTCCTCCAATAAAGAAAATGGCGGGTCAACGCCTGCGCTTAAACAGTCTTACTCTTCGGGTTACATCTAATCAAATTCAATTCTGAAGAATCTGTATTCTATTAATTGAGTTAAAATAAATACAACAAGTAATAGAAACAGTAAGAAAAATCAGAACTGGAATGCAGAGTGGCCAGATCATCGACTTCTCGCCAGAAGAGTACGTTTTGACGTGTCAACGACACTCGACGAATTTGCTGAAATCATCTCGTCTATTATCATCCTTGGCAACAGGCTCGTATCATCCGTCTCTAATGCACCTGCAATAGAGACAGAGAATGATGTCATCGCAAAGACAGCTATCGCGTTGACTCATTGATACTTATTCAGGAGTTATGGCACCATCAGGAATACCGAAAGACCAAAGTTAGCAAACATCAGGCCCCTAAATCTTCGTTCCAAAAAATCCGTTGCTTATCACTGCAACGTCGTCAGGCATTGTACACCTAGAATAAACAAAAGAAACGTTTGATAAGACATTCAGATCGACAGAGTTCAGAATTCGTTTGATTCGGTATCCGGGACCCACTGCCATCTGACGGTTGAAGTAGAACTAGACGACCAAGGTACGGCAAAAGTTTCCTCGCTATTGACGACAGTGCTGGCTCGCCCGGAGCTCACATACCGGCGTTCACGTGAAACGTTCACTGGAATTTTTGGCGATACGATAAAAGCAATGAGGTGTTCCTGACCGAGGTGAAACGAAACAGTGACGTTCCGAAACGAGAGAAAGTGTTGTTCCCGTCCGAAGACGATGTTGTAAAGATCTACCTGTGCGTGAAGTATACTTAAACACCTGCCAGGATGGACGAGGAGACTATGTGGAAAGATTTCTATCACAAGATCGTTGAGGAGAAGGAGACCAAGGAGAAGGAAGAACAAGAGAAGTCAGAGCACGAGATAAGGTAGAGAGTGCAGCTTTCGATGCGACACTCTGCTGGGAATAAGGACTTCTGTGACTTACGTACACTTGCACTTAACTCTCTGCTTCTGTCTAACTTGGTCTGTCTTCTAATTTAGCATAAGCAACGCGGTCATCTAACTACTGCGGGGCGTGTTTTGGTCGAGGATGTGCTTTGTTTGGAATCACGAGGCAGTGTCTTCTGATTACTTCTTCAAAATATTCTTAAGTCGATATCGAAACGATCGATTCTTTGGAAAATCAGTTTTGCAAATGATTTCGATTGCATCCATAGATTGCCATAAATTATTAATTTGTTCTTGTTAGCTCTATGAAGACACTAATGATAATTGCTTGCCTAAACGATTTTAAATATTAAGTCTGAAAGTGAATTTTACGTTGCTAACAGTATCATCCCAGGTATTCTAAAGTCTTTGAATTAGAAGTTGCAATTCGAATCTGTCGCTGAATCTATAACAAGTCAATTTCATGACTCACGGTACTTACGCATCTACAATATCAGAGATGAAAATGTAACAGGTGACTTCATGCCGTCTTTGTTTGTCATAATTATCTGTTGTAAGAAGATTCGTCTTATCTTCTCCAAAGAAATCGGTCCCGTGACTAATAGCTTAATACGAATTGCTGAATAGTCACGTGGTTGACTTGGACCATCAAAGTTCGAATTGCCGCCAAACAAACTGATACAGTACTTCGACCCGTTTCATGAACCAATGCGGTCTAATGCACCACCACATGCGGCCGCGTACTATTAATAAAACGAGATTGATGCAAGTCCCTACAACATCTGCGGAGAAATTGCTTCTCCAGGTCGTATGCGAGCTGGTGCGCGCGCGCACGTACCAATTCTTCAAGATCTATGATTCAAGGTCAACGGTTCCTAGTCCACGGTAATGAATTGCACTTGAACTTGACTTCGGGTGTAAAATTGAACATTTATAAAAGAGCAAATTACGGTTCTTTTATTATATTTAATTACCTTTTATGTCTGCAAAAAGTTCAGTATGCCACGTGAATTACCAGTATCATTAATTTTTTTAAATATATTGTTATTATTAAGGTTAATCGAGTAAAAGGAACCACTGATAGAGGCAATCGGAATGCTAACCAGGAATGTCTATAAATAATTTCGTGTCGAGATTTATTAATTAGGTGATGTCACGTGAAGCTGGGCAATTTAGAGAGCGTAAAGAAAGATTTCCTTACATGCACCGTAGCATCCAAAGAAGCGTGCACACAAACAACACTGTTAACATTCTATGTGGCCTCCATAAACGGAAACGAAACAGTGCGAACGTGTACGTCGTGTTAATTAACTCTATTATGATGTTGTCTCAGCTGTTGCTGTCAATGACGGCCATACCGGTGAAAAATACGAATCGTTTGTGTCCTTTCACAATTGGTAAAAACGAAGTAGAAAATATTACTGAAATTTAAATGCCGAATAGGATTGATAAATATTCATCAGCAAGTATATTCAGATTTATCTACTGTCTTATTGATGCATGAGGAAAAGTGGAAGTTGGCATAATAAAGGCATCAAAACCACAACAAACGAATATTACAAGAAGCACAATAGAGAAAACACATACAAGATGTTTAAGTTTATATATTTTATATATTCATAAATATTACTGTCAATAATAGTATTGAAGATGTCAAGTAAAGGGTTGCAAGACATTTTAAGTTATTCCTTTGTATAAACTGTGACTAGCATAAATCATCCAAGACTTCGGAGCAGTAATGCACTCACTGCAGCCATTTACGATCTCCTGAGAAGAATTATAAAGAGTTCTATCGTGCCAAGACACAGACTACCATTATTCACATTGTCTATAAATAGACGATTTAAAATTCTATTTTTAGAAAATTATCTCTCAAGATTATTCATCTACGAAACGATCTGGTTTGTTATTGTAGACTTTTAATTTCTCTTGGGAACACTTTGATCTATTTCCTTACGTTCCGACAGTTAACCTTAATTGCTAATGAATGTGTCCATGTCGGTTCAGTGGAATTAGTTCCGCGCGATGATACTTTTCCCATGGATCAGCAGCAAGTCGGTGTTGTCATGTGCGTCATCAAAGCTGAACGGGAATTCCTTGTTTCCATATCAACTAAGAGACCAGCATGGAAATCGAGTAGAGGCTTAGATTACCGTCGCGTAGGTGAACGTTCGATGAGATCGGGAATTGATATCTGAGAATAATATTCGTATAAAAAGATATTACTTTTTTTTTTAAATTTGATATCATTGGAAAATATCGAGTCTTTCTATTTGTTAACTATGAATTGTACTGTTCTATAGATAAGACAAAAGGCTAGTCGTGTTACAAGTGAAGCATAAGTTACATTGTTGAATACCTCAATTTACAAATATTGAAAGTTATTTCGAGTAACAAAACTGTTATGTAATTCAAAAATATATCTTTATAAATGAAGTCACAATGTAAATAAATTTTAATTAGTTATTCTTTAAATAAAATGCACAGCAGAACGTCGATTATCCACAAATCTGATCATCCCAGATACCAATCATGGGAACACAGAGCAAGTCATGAATATTTTCTGAAATAAGAATTATTCAAACTTATGATCGAATATAGAAGGTTCTTATTTACGGTCAGATTTTTACGGTTTATTCCATGTATTTGCAGATCAAAGCGTGTCCGAGTACGTGGTAACGTGTAAATTGTCAAACATAGAGATTAATATAATGCGGATTAAGTCGGTTCGAATCCGTTTTGAAACGGCGGAGATCACCGAAGGCCGTGTGTGTCTTACATCACTGCAGACCTTGTGCCTCATGCTCACAGACAACACTCCAGTTTCAAATACCGTAAAATTCAAATGAGCTGATGAACTCTAGTTGCGCCAAAACAATCTTGATTGCACAATCAAATATGTGATAATGTTAATATTTACGAAATCCATAAGAACGTTCCAGATTTGGCGAATAGTTAAGATAGTTTCAGAAGAATTTCTCGTAACCTAGAATTACCAATTTTGAATTGCCCTGTAGAAGATAAGATTTTACTACTTTCACGAGTTACAGACACAAGGTCTTACAATGAAAACCTTCATAATGGAAGATTTTTAGTAACAACATAATTGTTCTCTATAACTATTTCTACTTAGGATTAGATCGGATTAGGTCTTAGGGTACAAAATATTAAACGAAAGTAATTCCACCATTTCAGCAGTCTATAGAACTTTTACTATGTTATTCAGATATGAGTGTAAATTATAATACTCACAAAGGTTCAAAACATCTTAATTGGACAAATTGGACGAGTATGTATTGACACCTCACGCAATTCGTGGGAAATTATGTAGATTCAATCGCTAGCGCCAATTCCTTTAAACCATATCCTGCTACCTCCTACTTCTTTCATTTAACTTTGTGAGCTTCGGAGTCTGAAGTCATCGAGTAGTTCCCCGACAGACATGCTTGAACCGTCACGTTTTTACCGGTCTCGTTTCAGTGAATTGTGTTGCTGATAGTGAGTGTAGACCTGAAATTAAATCGGTTCTTTCGTTAAAATGGTAATACACTAGAAAAAGTATCTCATATCCTTTCACTGCCAGAACAATAGTATATACTGCAAAACTCAACAATTTTTAAAATAATTCTCACCTAAAGAAATGATTGCAAATACTTAGTTTATTCTCCAGATATCACAGAATTTTCTAATTTCCTGGTAAGAGTCAAATATAAAATTTAATAGTCTCGAAAGGAAATCGAACGATGAATTTTAAAAGACACTATATATTGCCGCGCACAAAGTTCATCTGTCACTTTTATATAAAGTCCAATACACAGTTGCACACGTCGTAGCACAATTTTGCAAGAAGGAAAACGAACTTTGTCACTGCTGTCGCAAAGTATACCGGCGTCGAATCACGTATTGTGTGTTTTTTCTGAAAGGAATAAGGACCGAAAAATGGCGCACTTCGCGAGGCTGGACGAGAAGCATCCATACTACGCGATCGCCGCGGCCCGAATGTGGCAAAAACCGGAAACGAAACCGGTGACGGTCGCGAGATTCTATTGGAAATTCGCAGCGTTCAACTTCATTCACAAAAGGTGAACCGTGTTTTTTCCGTTGAGTAAGTGACATTCACCCGCGATTCGTAGTGCGTAGCGCAGACAGCTTTCTTTCTGCACTGTCACGTCACGAATGATTAGATGTGCGACGAATCCCTTCTGCTACTGTGTCCTCGTATGTGGTTTGTCTGGATACCTATTGTATCAGAATAATTACGAAAAATGTGTCAATATGTAGTTCAAGAAAATGTTCATGGATGCTATTAATAAACAGAACAAGAATCTCCCTTTCGTTATTTTACTTTTAGACCCTGATATTTACACCGAAATCTTTATCTTTTTGTTTCATGCAGTCATTAAAGAAACACAGTGATACTTTAAACAGGGTGTTTGCCTACTAGTGTCAGAAACGTGTCAAAATAAGACGAAGTAAAACGAAAATCAACAATGATGAAATTGTGTTGGGAGCTTCACTTTCGAGTTATTCACGATAAAAAATTGGGGTCAGAAATGCCTGACACCAGACAATCTGCGTTACAAGCAGTAAGCGTGGAGTACGATTGTCACGGCGTATATAGTGGCGTCGTTTGAAAAAAAATACGTCCTTGCCACTTTATAGCCAAACATGTGATATATACAGTTTTTTTATTACAATCCCAACATTTGCTGGTCATTTGCGAGCTAAGGGTGCCTGAGACTTTGCTTTACCACCCGCTGTTCACTGTTGCTCAACAACTGTGTTTTCATTTGTCCTAAAACTGTCCTTATTGGGAGGCACCTTTGGATTATTTACTATTCCCATTCGCTGCTTGCACATTTTTATTTCCTGCCTGTCCTTTGCGAGGGACTCAATCGTTAACGGAAACAAATCTAGTCGACACGAAGTAGCCCTCGAAGAAGAGCACTTGTGCTTTTTATAGTAGTAATTTAATTTATTATAGTGAGTTTTTTGTTTAGTGTAGGTTAATGTATTTAGTGTATATTTTGTGCGTGTTTACCGTGGCTTTATCTGTGGATTTGAACGAGTAACCAGATGTAATATCGTGCAAGGATTTCAGTGTGCTTTTTTAATAAAGTGCGCAAGAAGATAGTTCAGGATCGAGTGCAAGTACGCATCATTTTTTGGGGTACGAGGTAAAGGTATATTTTTTTTAGCAGACGTCAGTGTACGTGCCTGTGAATTGTTAGCTGTAAATAGCTTGAACAACCTCCAACACAGTTTCATGATCCTTGATATTTCGTTTCATTTTAGTATCATTTACGAGCATAAAATGTAAATCTTAATAGTAATACGGGATGGTATTCTAAACGCGTTACGTATAAATTGACCATTGTATAATCAATGATCACAATTAGCCTGTATCCTAGCGCAATTAACAAAAAACTTTCAGTATCCGGGAAACATAGCAAACACGCGATATTAATTCCATAGAATTTACATGGCATTCGAATTTATACATGGCTGTTCATACAAAAGGCCACCGGTTTAGAATATGATACAATAGTGGTTTGAAATGAAAAATATACTGTCAACTACTCATCTGGTGTTCCTTTATTTGGGAACGTCCTATATAACGAAACACATACTACTAATATCATGACACAATTACTGCTTTCAACGTTTATCGCTGGCTTTTCATTGGGTGGTTGCTGAAGTAATGTGACCATTTTGTTTTACCTAGTATCAAATTAATAATAACGTTAGATTGATTGGAATGTAGCGTTGAATCTTTGGATCTATTTTTACCGCACATATTCTACCGTTTAATGTCTCAGAGTATATCTTTATTCTCAGTCCAAGAAAGAGACGTTTTAATTAGCGAAAGATGATAAAATACAACTTTATTTCCAGTCGATTTAATATTAATTTCTTGGTTATAGTGTCATCGTCCGAAATACTTTACGTTTTACAAATTAATGTAACAATGTTGTTTTCAATAGAATACAGGAGTCCGATGGCGGATTTTTCGAAAATCTCGGCACGTTGCTGGCCGAGAAGGTTCGAGCACAGGAGCAGGTTGAAGGACCATTGCCAAAGAAAAATGACGAGGTCCAGGAGGAGGAAGACAACCTGAGCGAAGAGGAAAGCATCGAGGAGCCTGTGGACGCACTTCTGGAAACCGATAGTGACAGGGATGAAAATGAGCACGCTCTGAACTTCTTGGCTGAATCTATGGGCTGGAATGTAAGCAAAATATTTATTGTTAAATCAATTCAGTTCAATCATTTAATTTTATTTCAATTTTAACAATCTTAAATCTTTTTTAAAGTGAATAGATTAAACGAGAAACATATTTTTATTGAATGATACTGTCGATAAGACTACGGACAGATTTTAATAAATTAATTTAAAGTATATAGACGTCTAGCCCATTACAATAGACGATAGAACCAGGTTCTGTACGAAACCCTTATGTCAACTGTAATTTCCACAATGGAGAACACTTTTCCACGGTCTTTCAAAATCAAAATAGTATCTTGTGCTAAAGATATTTCCCTTGAAAAATCTCTTTTACGTCTGATCTACTTAAAACGGTGTATTTACGTGTTTCTTCTTCGTACTGTCCGATAGACCATAAATTCCTTGATTTACTCCCTCAAGTGTTCATCTCGTTGTTGAATGGTCCGCTAAATTTTCCGCGTCGAGTGGTTTCTTCTTTTAGACACCGACGAGAAGGAAAAAACATCAGAAATCCGCGGCGAGTGGGCCGGTCCATTCGAAATAACAATGATCTCTGGGAACGCGTGGAGTATGGAGTATTTAACGCGTCATTCACGCGAGAAAGGGCGACTTAAAATACTTTGATAAGTACGAGATCGTCTGGCCTTCGTCAGCGCGGATAAGGGGTGGTCTGTTCGTTGTGAAAGCTCGCTTTGCCTGGTGATTTGACCGAAGATTATGGAAAACACATGAGGAAAAATCGTGGGAAAATGTCGTTGTCAGAAAAAGTTACGGGTTAATGAGTATTATCATGTAATAATAATTCTTATTATTCTTTTTACTTTATTTAATGGAAGGTTTAATTAAAATATGAATACGTAAATTTTAGCGTTTCAAGAGAAACATCTGAAGTATATATAGTTCAGCTTTAGTTCAGAACATTTATATAAATATTAACCACCAAATAGAAAGTTTCTTAAATTTTCGTAAAATTAATTTTTCTTTCTAATTCTGTTTTAGATATATATTAGAGAGTACTCCATTTTGTTGTTTTAAAATTCATTTACTTCTTCAACTCCGTTCTCTTCGAATTGAAAAATACGATCAACTATTCCATAACTCCCCTCTGAATTGTTTCATTCCTTATTCACTTCAATTCTCGACGAAATTATGGCGGCGTCGTGTGCCATGCGATGGTAAATATCGATTTCACAAAGGTCTCAGTTGCAACCGAGGGTTCGTCCAAGTTAGATGTCCTCTTCCTTCTCTAATAGTGGCACCAAGACCTACTTATACATTGCCGTAGTCTTGGTTATGTCTGAATTTTATGGTTTACAACAATGGGGATGAGTAAATATGGCGGACCATTCTCTCTGCAGCTCGACGAAAAATATGTAAGTTAAGAAACGAATTTTAATCCACATTAGTACAGTTAAATCGCTGGTAAACGCGAAACTTTTCAATGAAATCCTCTTTGAAATTTCTCAATTAAATCTCCTTCAACTCTCCAAACCGAAGATTGGCTCGTATGGAACCCTTTTACTCGACCTTCACTGATCAAATAAAAAATGACGATGACTGCGATCTTATACCCCGCTTGATTAACAGACCAGAGGATCTTTATGCAAAATGATATTTTCCAAGGCAATTCATACAGAGAAGAGCAAATCTAACAATTTCTTTGTTTTCTTAAATATCACATTGGGTTCAGAATAAACTAGAAAACTCATTGAATCTGATGAAAGTATTGTTCTTCACTGTATTTTACAGACATAAATCCAGCATAAAATCCGCAGTCTAACCATAACAAAATTGAATCTGACTGTACCGTTGTAAAGGGCTCACGATACATAGACTCTATCCCCTATAGGGGACCTAAGTTGGACGATCCAGCGCAGACAATCTTGTCGTTCGGCCCTTTAAATAGAGAAATAAAAGCCCTGAAAAGAAAAACAGGCACCACGTGAATGGCTCCAATTATGTCACCGATACCGAAACGCACACGCGTCGCACGCTCGTGGGGTGTTATCCTCTAAGCTCAATCGGGCAGTTAAAGTCAATCTGAAGCGCGATTCCGGGCCTGTGTACGTGCGTTCGCCACTGCATACAACGCCACTACCACCACCAACAGACTCGAATCGTCGACGTACGACGACTCGGATCCGTCGGTTCCATCTATTCCTAGCAGTCCGGTTCCCGACTTCGTCAAGTTCTTGTCGCGCGTCTTCTTGCCACCGATTATCCTGTCCGCGTCCTTTCGACGTCCTGAAACGCCACCACCGTCTCTCAGCCCCCCGCGATGAAACACGTGACATCCGATTCGGGACGAATGATATCTCGTGATTATCGAAATTTACAGTTCTGTGAACGGCAGGTGTGATCAAAATGAGAGAAATTGTGAAGTGAAGATGTTCCTTGAGATGTAAACGGAGAACTGAGTTTAGATGTTTTGGGGGTAGAGGCAATCGAGTCAGATCTAACTCTGCGTGTGGTTTAACAGGGTTTCGATGTTCGTGGATCAGGTTGGTTTGGTAGGTGATTCGATTCCGATGATTTTTCGAAATTTCTAGCAAATTCGAACGATGAAACGAAAAACGTGGAAAGGCTGGTCTTGTTTGTTGGCAACCGTAACTCAAATACTCTCACGAACCAGCAACCGACTTGGACGCGATTATAAAAATAAATCAAACCTACCGTGAAAACTGGGTTGGGCGGTCTTTTTCTGTTCTGTATCATCGAAAACTGGCAGATTGTCAGCGGACATGGCTTCACGGTGGAGCGAAACACCGGTGAGACACACGTTCTCATCCCTTGTGTACCACATTAATATAACTAGAAAGCTAATATAATTAACAAGAGCTTCCAAGGCTCAGCACCAATACAAATTCAACCAGTTTTTAAAAAAATCATACATTATTAAAAAAACACATACCTTTTCCCAATGAAATATTAATATAATCGACAAGAGCTTCGAAGGTTCAGCGCAATCGAACAACCACCGAGCAAATATCGAGTTAGTCGTTGAACCGCAGGCGAGAAAAAGCTCGCGTTTCCTGAATTAATTCATTCCCAGCACAAAATAGATCCGGCCGTTGAGTGGGCGTGTAGTTGTAGAGCGACAAAACCTGCATAATATCACGAGAAATTGGGCACACTCCGCGAAGGCCGTTCTGTACACGTTGCCTGTATGATTCTTGCCGTTTCCACCCATAGAGGTGTCCGTGCTAAGCGGCAAGAATCATTCGAGCTCGCACGGTGGCCGTCTATGCGCGACTTGTCGGTCAATGAGCTAATTGTCGGTATATCAATTTTCATTGGGCGCAATTGCGCGAGCATACGAACGCATTGTGGTTGCACTTGCCCCGCGGGTCGCCTCAAACAGGATACGGCATAGTTTCCCTTTGTGCAGATTCATTGTCTTGTTTTCACGGTTTCCATTGGTCACCCAGTTAACCGGGAACAGCCAATGCCGTGTGTGCTGTGCCCCCCCCCCCTCGTTTCTCGATATTTAAATCGGTCCCCGGAGACCGTCTGCGAAATTTTTATGCATTATTTAATTGATGCATTATTCTCTTATTTAACCAGCGGGCCCCGAGTCGACTGTCGTTTCCCGTTCAATGGGGCTTAGTCACTTTCGTCTGGTACCTGCGAAGTTGTGACTGCTTGGTTTCGGATACTATGAAGAAATTCAAGTTTCTAATGAATGCTTCGAGAAGTTTTTATTAGGTTGCAACCATACGAAATTGTCTCCCATAGATCGAAACGAAAACGCTTATTTCTTTTCGATTGAGTTGGACACTTTGATGATCGAAAGCGTTCTTAAAACGTGATATCATCTGATACGTTACCGCTCAGAAGTATCCGGGCACTTGGTAGATTTCTAGTAGCAGCAAGTTAGCCATAGAAAAATGTATAAACGAATCGTTAAAACTATTTTTATAACCTTTCTATCACATAGTACAACTTAATGTAATTAGTTTATCGTCGATTGACGAGGGCGCTGAAAGAAGAAAGGTATTACTACTTTCTGAAAAACTTCAATATCTCCTAACTCTTTATATGTAATAACCCCTTATACATATACATATGTTATACCTACTGTAACATTTTATTTCTGTTCACTTGAGTTTTATATTTGCTCGATAAATAGGTTGTTTTACGAAATTGAGATAGATATAGCTCGGCCTTATAAAGGATTGAAACACCTCGAAGTAACGAAGTCGTATTTTAGATTAAGAATATTCAAATTCAGATTAAACGATTGATCGGTTTCTATGCTTCCAGCACTAATTAAGGGGTCAATGCTGCTCAGAACAGCGAACTGCGTACAAATAAATGGAATCTCATTGTCAGAGTCAATTGCTTTTGGCAGCCACTATGGCCCAGTTCTTGCGATTCCCACTGACCCGGTGATCTAAACCGATGTTCCCGGCGTCTGGTCAATTTTCCAGTGATTCATCGTTCTATAATATCGAAACATCGATTTTTCCTTCTTGTTCGAAGAACATTTCTTCCCCCTCTCTTTATTCGTGTTCCTCGAAGAGAACTCTGCTGGATGTCTTTTTCGATGAACCATTTTTCCGCCAACAAGACGAGTAGAATCGACTATTTTGGTCAGACGTCGCCGCATTCCGTCCGACCTTTCAGAGCCGGTCGATCGACTACGTCTTGAGTTCGCTAAAAAAAGAGCGTTAGATATTTGCCCGGTAAACGAAGAACGGGATGAACGCTTTTACCGAGTGCGTTACGCAACAACGAATCGAGAAAAAGTGAATATTTAAATGTTTCAGGGTCGATCCGGAATTAGACGTGAGAATTCGGTCGTGCAACCCTGTTCAATCGTTTGCGCTCGCGTTAGTTTCTGAAAAATAGATCCTAGCTCTCTGAACCGAAATAAAAAAAGGTCAATGAAAATCAAGGGATGATCTAACTGTAAGACAAATCATATTTAAACTATTTTTCGCGTTAAAACAATTTGTCAACTCTTAACGTGTCCTGATTACTCCATTTAGAACTATTACTTAATGTGCATGCAATTAAAAAATTTAAATATCACTTTATAATACAATATGACGAATTGAAATTGATTTTAATCTGTTTAAATCATATGTTAAATGGTGACCAATGAATACTTTAATAATCGTTTAATCGAGAAACTGTATCATTTCTTAGTCTTTATTTATTCAAACTGGTCTAAAAATCGAATTTCTCGTAACATAATCGCCATTTAGTAATGATTATAATAATAACGTTAGACATCGTTTTTCTCTTATCAATTACAAAACCGCTGATAATTGTTTGTTTCACGCACAAACAAAAAATCACAACGAAGTAGTCCAATTCAAGTTTCCTTGCATGCCTAATTCACACGTGTCTCCCGGGCATCTACACGTTACTGTTACCGATTTCGATTGCTGATTTGGTCACATGATCGCGTCCCGATTATGCATACGCACCTACGTGTCAATATGCGTGGACTGGATAAGAAAGGTCGTGGCCACCGTGGAAAGTTTATCTTTGATCGGCGAAGTGCACGCGATTACTAGACTTTTAAGGAAATCACGCATCAATGTCCGAGTTGATTCGATCGAGTATAGCGGAACCATGTAGTCCATAATACGTAATTATGGTTGTGAATAAAGCACAAGTGAATTCGTGACTATTGCAACTGCATCTAACATCGTCACTCATAATATCTCGTGAAGAAAGTGCTAAAATCTGTTGGTAATTTAGTAAACAAGTGGCCACGCGTGTGAAGTAAGAAGTCATATTATGGTTCCAATATCTTGATAGTGTAAAAATTAATAGAACCGTGACAATGTTCCATTACATTGAAAAAAAACAAAATTTAAACATTCTTTGAATGTATATGAATATTCACTGGGTTGTATTATAATAAATGACATACTTCGACAATTTTAATCGGTTCCAATGTTTTTGTTAACAAACACCGTTTCTTTCTTGTCTTGACAAAAATTTGTTTCATTTAAGACTTCGTTTTCTAAGAAAAAACTGAATTTGAAACTCCGCTGGATACGCGTGCAATTGAATAGGACTTGGCTGGCGAGTCTGTTCATTAGATTCCGTGTCTACTTACTACCATGACGAATACACTCGTTTCAGATTAGTTTTCAAAGTCCATTTTCTCAAAAACAAAAACCTTACACTAAACAATTTAATCTATTTTTTTCGAATTATTTCTTCTTATAGAATCTCCACCTGTTGTACCATGATTTTGGAGACAGCTTTTATATAAATAAAGAAAGAAATTAATTTATAAATCTGTATAGTTTCGTAAAACTGTCATTTTTCACGATCTGACATACACGTTAATTGCCGGTGATTCTAATGTTAACGATCGGTTCGAGTAAATTCGAGGGTTCGTAGCAGTCCGCCTTGACGAAAGTGAAGGAAAAGAGAAACGGAAGATCTCGGATTTCCCGATCGAGGCCGCGAGTGTAGCCGCGTAAACGTCATTGTTCTTAACTAAGGAAGCTTCGTTTTACGCGCGATGCACTCGCGGGTCATTGTCGGGCTGTACTAGATCTTCCACCTTTCGAGCGGCTCGCTTGACAGCCGCGAAACCGCTGTTGCTACCGTTAACGATTGTGAGACGAATGTGTGACCTTTCCCTTTCCAAGATCGATTCGAGACTTCCGCCGGTGGAGACGTGTGCGATGCGTCTTTGTGTGTCGGAATAAGTGATTCGTGGGATAAATATCAGTGAGATGATCGAAGTAGTCGGAGGATTGTTGTGAGTGAGCCGAATATGATCAACATGAGTCCGCCTATGGGGGTGGCAACCCTCAATCGGTGGAGGAACACCTTCCTCGGTATGCCCAAAGCGGAAATCGAGCGAAGAATGAATACTTTGCTTCAGGCGATGACGGTGAGTCGATCGTTAGGCGATTGTTTATGGACAGTTAACCCCCACTTTATATAGTTACATCAATAATAGAAGGAACAGGCGAACAATTAACCATTTGACCCTCATTTTTCCAACTTACAGTTTGTTCCTCGACGTCAAATTGACAGAGTGGTGAAATATTAATATAACGGAGAGATTAACAGTTAAATTTGTATATTCTTATTTATATACTTGTTTATCGCGTTAACAGTGCAAATTTGTTTTTGCTCAAAATTGAACTGTATTATTTGATCCCCATGGTAGTTGTTTTTTGGGACATTCTATATAGTGATTCTTGTTATCGTTCAATATTCGAACAAAGTTTGCCCTCTCCCTAATCAGGTCACTCAGACGAGAATCCACAGAGAATTATCGTGGTTTATCTTTTCGTTTGTAATTATATACCCGATTGGGATGCATTTGTCAACACGTCGGGCGGAGAACTTTGAACCGTGAGTATTCTACCTCGAGCGTTTTCAGGAACGCGTCGTGACTAAAATCTCGCCTCGTGTGCGGTGACTGTATTAAGGACTAACGGATGCGTTGTGGGCACAGCAGCAGATGCTACAATTATAAATGACGCGAACTGATTGCGCACTGTTTATCAATAACCCAATTGCCAATGATCACGAGGATAAAGAGTAAACATAAACTACGTCGATGATGTAACTAGAAGGACAATCTTGTTGAGATCAAACCAAAAAAAGAAAAAGAAGAAAACTTCTTCGTTTCGAAAAACTAATTATTTAAAAGTAATTCAATAAAAATGTGTTTCTTACCATCGTCTATATGCAACGACCTGTAAGATTAATCGACCAGAAAACCACTTACTATTTAAAGAACACTGTGTATCGAAATTGGTTTAAGATATTAAAATGACCCGGAAATTGATTAATTTTATCGAAGTCTGCCGAACAAATACTTTCATCGGTAATACATCGAATTTGTATTATTGAATTTGATGTTTAATTATTAAAATCCTTCGCATACCAATTGTCGCAAGATTCGAATTAGTCGCTGAAAAATGTGGTTCGTGATCCTATAGATCGAAGAACTCTACGCAGCTCTGGTCTACATGACCCAACATCAGATCGGCTACGACGTATCGAACGAGTGCGGGCAGGAAACTCTGCTGAATCATCTTCAAAATGCGTTTAAAGTCGACAATGAAACGCACGAGAGGATTCTGGAGAAAACGCGGAAAATGGAGGTGGAGATTATATTCTATAACTCTGAAGGAAATGATTAATTGCGACGGTTCGAAAGGTTCATTGTTAATTACAACATTCACGATTGATTTACACAGCCGCCGGAGATGCACTTAAACGTCGAAGTAATCGAGGCAAAGGAACTCGCCTCGAAGGACGCGAATGGGAAAAGCGATCCCTTCTGCGCCCTTTATCTCGAATCGGCTCCAACAAGGCGATACAACACCGCCGTGAAAACGTCCACGCTCAGTCCTGTGTGGGAAGAACACTTCGAACTGTGAGTTAAATATAACACCTGTTCTCCATAAAAAGTTTCATTCGTTCTTCTTATTCTAAGATCATCGTTATCCCCACCGTTTAACTTCTCTATTGTAAACATTTCCTTTTCTTTCTATCGTTCTCGACGTTTTCGACAAAACCAATCTTGTTCCTCTATTTTTAACTCAAAAAATTCATATAATTCAACAACTATTTAATGTGCAATAGTAAATTCGTGACATATAGGAAGTAAATTGAAACACATATAAAAGCATATTCATTACTCAATCGAAATATTTTTGTTTCAAGTGTCTGAATAGTTTTCAAATGTTCTCATTGATCCGTGATTTCGGTTGCAGACCTTTGGAGGATGCAGAGAACGACGTATTGTTCCTAGAAGTCTGGTATGTCGGAAGAAAATTATTTAACCGGGGTACAATGTCTTTAGAATGATATTTTCTTACTTCAGGGACTTCGATGCGGCGGAGACAGTGCCTGAGAAGATGAGCAAAGTCAAGGACGTTAAAGGGGTCCGGGGATTGGTCAAATTGGCGAAAGAAATCGCAGTTACGGCCACGACAGGCAGCCACGATAACGAATTTATCGGTCGATGTCGAATAGCTTTAAAGGTACTTTTATAAATAAACAAACAATACGTATTCATTCCAGACTTCCAACCATGAATTTAACCGTTCTACGCCATTTTTCAAACCACAAAGACTCCTTTCTCACAATTATCCTACATACTACAAATACTCTAGGATTTATATAAATTACGTATCTTACCTTCGACATAATTAATTTAACCAAACAATTGAATATATTATACGTACAATCGACTCCTACTAATCTCCAGACCAGCCCTGCCTATGTAGAGTGTATAGCCTTCACGGATTAACATGAAAATTCCCAAATTACATAAGCCTCGAAACTCCAAAAACCAGGATCCTAATCGTTCTCCACACGTTTCAGGACATACCAACCACGGGACACACGATGTGGTACGCTCTAGAAAAGAAGAACAAGTCGAAACGTCGAGGAGTCGTGAAACTGAGGCTTGCGTTCAGCGCCGAGCACAACGCCCAGGTGGCGGCGCAGGAGCACAGACACCTGGTCAGAGTGTTGCTGTTGCACGAATTAGAATCGGAGAAGATCGAGAAATACTGCTGGTGCGGTCGATGGTCGGCGCCGGCCGAGGTGCTCCTTATGCAACACAGCGCGCAACGTGGTTTGCTCACCAGGAACGTCTCCCTGGCGCAGTGGATCGAATACGCGAGGATCCATCAGGAACACCCTCTGAACTTCGTCGTGTTCAACAGACTGATAACAGATCTTCTCAGGCCTATGGAGAACAGTCTGTTCTCCAGCGACGAGACCAGACTCTTCTGGGACGCCACCAAGAAGCTTTTGTATTCGTGTCTGAACAGTCTTCGAAAAATTCGGAGACTGACACCTGGTGACAGAAACACTATGGTGCAGTTGTCCGCGATTTTAGGGTAACTATCCGTTTATGGAGTTTTTTTCGGGAATGTATTTACATCATTAATTAGGAAGGTCAGTTCAAGTCAGTTGAAGCTACTTTCGTATAGATTACTGATCAGAATATTGAACTTTCTTTTAATATAGTAAAGAGTTAGTTTTACGATTTTGATGCACATCTACTGATGCTAGTTTAAACAGTGCATTATAGAAGCAGTTGAACAAAATTTCTATGAGTATACTTTATAGGTATTAGCATTCGTTAGATACATTATCTCCTTCTAACTACAGAGAACACATCATCTGAAGTCTGTGTTTGATTTAGGATCCTATCGTCTATATCGTGCCTTAAAGTTCCTGAAGATGTAAATCTGTTTCCCGCCAAAATGTACCCATGGTTCCCAGACCCGGACGATAGGTCAACTGTCCTTGAAGCTTTGGAGTACACCGTCGAACAGGGTGGTGCCGAATGGTACGACTGGAATGTTCACCTGTTTTTTGGATATGATTTAGGCCATAATTTCACAATTTTTTAATATCTCAGGTTCGAGCACTTATTGAACAACAACTTCCCAGAAAGCGATTCCGACGAGGACGCGCTTAAGTACCATATAAAGGTGATCCAGCTAATTAGAGCTGATCTGCAGGGCGCCATTGATAGCTATGACAAATTGTTCATCAAGTAAGGACCTTCAGAAGCAATTTGAAGCGCCGCGGTGCAACGAACCGAATTGATCGAGACATTTGCAATTTCAGACGAATCAATTTCCCCTATGCGAGGTCGTTGTACATGATGTACGAGAAGAGGATCAGCGACATGTGCATGGTTATCACTGAGGACATCTGCGGCCGACTGAAAAGGATCGAGATCAGCAACGCTGACGTTGAACTGAGCACCGGGACCACGTTGTTCGAACTCTACTTGGCCTTGCAGCGATACGCTAAGTAAGATTTCAGTATTTTAGGAATCATTGAATGATAGATGAGGTCACATGAGACAACAATACTGATTTCAAATGATGAATAAGTAAATTTGATGTCGACATACCCTGTCTGGGTTTAATATCAGTAGATCAATATACAAGCAGACACGTCAGTATCTCACCTAAGTCTAACAGTATCAGAATCCACAAGGCACTCATTTATATTTTTTTAAAATACACAAAAACTACAAAATGGTATGAACATTTCTCGATATTTGAACGTCTAGAATCCACACTGTGAAAATGTCCCACATTTTTACCAACAGCATAATGTAGCGTGACATTGTCACTTCCAAGTGTATGATGTCTCTGTTTCAGACTTGGTCAGGTACTCTGCGCGGAGGGTGAACTGGAGAACATGAAGGTGCAGTACTACTACGAGTGGTTCAGAGCTGGCGTGGCTCACTGGTTGGGCATAGCCGAGTACAAGGCTCTGAAACGGATCGACAGAGCGGTCGAGTTCGATCCGTTGCAGCCGGTCGATAACACCGTTCAATATAGCTCGAGTGCAGTGGATACATTAACGATATTTTACCAAATCAAAGTGTTTTGGACGCAGCTGGCCTGGCCGGACGTAGAAGGTTCCTACACTTTCATAGGCAAGATTATAGATGTGAGTTATCGACAGCTTCCTCTATCGAGCTTTTAGCTTCTCCACGTTTAATACTGGGTCACTCATAAGTACTTGGATTAGATCGTGTATAACTCTTCCGCCATAGACTTTGATAAATCTACTAAATAATAAGTATGATAAAAAAGACTAAATTCCGCCATAGTGACTCAGATTAGTGACGAATAACACGGTGTAATAAGTTAATGTTACGTATAAACTGAAGAAAGGGAAAGAAATATGGACTAAGAATGAGACTAAGAAATGGATGGAACGACTATCATGGCCCTCAAAAATCATTTTCAGGATATCTGCAAATGTTCTATCATCTACGCCGATAAGATGGCGAAGAAGGCGGAACTGACCACAGAATTGGAGCAGTTGTCCGAAAGTAGCGTGTACGAGAAGAAATTCTTCGTCTCCACTGCTTGGTGTTTCGCAATCAACAATATCGACTACATCAGGACCTCCATTGGACCGTTGGCCAATGATTTAGGGCTTCAAAGTATCGTGGACGCTTTGGCGGAGACGAATACACAGGAAGAGGCGTATCGTTGCAAGCAAACACTTGAATTGATCATCAACAATGCGACCGACACCGTTAAGAACAAAATCATAGAACTGCTGCAAATTGTCGCGAACAAAATGGCGCCTGCTATGAGCAGGTAACGATTGATCGCCAGAGGTGCCTAGATTGATGACTGTGGAAATTTATGCAAATCTACATTTTCATCGACAAATGCAGGAACAAATGAAATTAAATGGACTTTTAGTTCCTGCACTAATAATTCTAGTCAATTGAAACAAAATTCAAGCTTTTTTAAAAAAAACTGTTAATGTATAAAGATCCACAGTCTAGAAATCAGAATGATAGACTAATATTTTTCTTCGGGATTTTAGGTATCTCATGGAGGGTGCAGAGCTGATAGACACCACCAGCAACGCTATGGACCGACTTTTGCAATATTTGGACAGTAATTTGACAACATTGCACGACAACCTCAACGAGGATAATTTTGAGAGAGTCTTACTTGTCATTTGGGAAATCATGTCGGAGACATTGTACCAATTAGTTCACAGTAATTTGGAGGTACTTGGATAAATGTTTTTCAGTAGAATATATTAAAATTACCTACTGTCACTCTCCAAAAAGATTATTACGTTATTCTATTAGGGTTCTTGCATTTCCTCGCGGATATATTTTGCTAACTATTCCTTTTACAATTACGATATGCATTGTAGGTTCTATGGATATTCCAAGGAGTATACTTACGATTTTAATTGATGTTCTTTCGCAGAAAAGAAGGCCACCGTCATTCTACTCGAACCTCCACCGCACCCTCCACACTCTTGTCCGATTCTTCAACGTCGGTGGGGACGAGTCCTCGAACGTGCAAGTATTGGAGAAGATTGAAAATCTGTTGGAGTTACACGGACTCGAGACAGCGGAGCTGATACATCGTTACCACCAAGAGCGTATCAAAGATCAAAACGAGCTGGATGACTCCGAGTACGGTCAGCTCACCGTCAAAGCGTATTTCGTCGACAACATTTTGACCATTCAGATTCTAAACGCGAGAAAGTTACGACCGGTAGACAGCAACGGTAAGTCGCCATTGACCGTAATCGAACTGTTCACGAGAAACACAGGTGCAAACCGTATATTGGTACATATATGTATGTATATATACGCTTCGAAATAGCCCGATTATACATAACTGTATCTCTCTCATTGTCAGTTTGATACCAGTTATCTCATGAAGTTCTTTCGTTCCCTTGTTTGACTTATAGTCCACGACCGGAACGGCCGAGTGGTTTGCGACGAACGGAGAATGACATTATTCTTTCGATTTTGTAGGCGATTTTATAGGCAAGGTGTCTACTCTCAAACGCAAGCTTCATACAAAAACTAAAGAAAGACTGAAAGAAAGGAAGACAAGTATGTAAATGTGGATGTAACGAAAAACACGTTCTTCCTGTTCATCATTGTTCCAAATAGAATCTCTCATTCGGTTGCCTGCCCTCGCGAAAGATAAAGATCAAAGACATGCATGATATACATATGACATTTTTCTTTTTCCTCTTTTCTGCCAAACTGTCACGTTGTACACAAGTAGATCGACAGTATCTTTAGAGTACACGATGATTTTCCTGATTTGAGAATTATGAGACTTGTCATTGACAACAGTGTTAGTCGCCTTCACCGTGCATGAGTCCATATTGGGGTACTCCAGTGTTAAAACTGAACACCTTGAGATGACAGTTCCTTCTGTTTTCCAGGTACCTGCGACTCGTACGTAAAAATTAGGCTACTTCCGGAAGAAAAGTTTTCCGACGTGAAGCTACCGAAAACACACGTGCAGAAGGAGAACTTGTACCCCCTCTTTGATGAAATCTTCAACATGTGAGTGGCATATGAGTGTTATAATCTTTAACTACTCCGAGATCCTATAGTGAGAAACAAAATCTATAGTACCTCTTGTCTTCCATACAATTCTGTTTGTACAGTTACTGGTCCATTCTATACGTGTTACATGTTTTACATACCCACCCAATTAACCTTATATTAGTGCATAAATTACGTTTAACCACTTAGGGAGGAATAGAAAAGTAAAAATATAGAATTCAAATTGGATTGTCGTCTCACGAGAAACGTAATGGATTATCAGGTGTGTCTGGTATTATTTATATTGTAAATCGTATAAATGTTTTCAGTCCTCTAACCGCCGAACAAAGAGCGACCAAAGACGGAATAATCGCGTTCGAACTGAAAGACAAAGACTTTCTCAGATCGAGATTCCTAGCTGAAGCGTTTCTCCCGTTCACTGACATCGCTGACACGGGACCAGACCAAGGAATGGTGTCGCTTGGTCAAATACATTTGATGCTTTCGCGCCCGACAAGAAGAAGTACGTTTCGGCTCCTGTTTTTTTTTTTCTGTTAATTGACGAATTACTCGTTGAACATTCTTCCTTTTATTTTATGTCCAGGTACGGACGTGATACAAGCGTTAGAGCACAGGAAGGGGGACAATCAGGCGATGGAATTCTTGTCAAAACTCAGTTCGAAGGCTGAACGGAAGTAATTGTTTCCATGTAGAAAAACAAGAGAGAAAAATGAATTATAGGTGCTATTATAACAAGAACGTCGATATTACGAATGTGGACCGTCAACTAAATTAACAATTCAAATTCAATGTGTGTGTGATTGGAAAAAGTTCTTAATCGAAGAAGAGGAAGAGAGAATTCGTTCACGTTGTTTAGAAGTGTGCATTTTATTGAACTTTTTATTCGGCTCCGCGATAACGTCTGAAACGGACCAGAGATCTTCGGATTCATTCTGATCGTCGAATGAATTTTTTCACCGTTGTCTCCTTTTTCCATTTAGAAGATCACGTATACGGTCCCATTCATGTGAAAGTTTGGAAAACTCCGAAAAAGAAAGTATTGTCGAATGATAATAGACGTATTTTTATAAAGATTTTACGAATACGTTGTTTTGAGTGGCTACAACCGTCACTGGGCTGTGCATCAATTTCGAATCTCACACACTTACCACCGTCGAAACAACGTCGAACGTCGCATTTCATGACTATAAACAGAACTGTAAGGCTGAGTGAGTGCTACTTACGGGTAACATTGATAATTACGGTGTTTTCGGGGTACACGCTGTTGCAAGAAATACTTTATTAAATCGTTGGATCTTGTAAGGATGAATGTATCGATACATCTAACGACTTGCAATGTACGTCTACCTAGAAGTGCAGCTATGTCGAGCACATATTCGTAACACAGGAAGACAGCGTAAACAAAGTGGTTCTTATTTAGTAATAACGCATTGTTTCATTCGAATCATTAAATCGTAAATCGTGTTCGACAGTTATTATCAGAGATTTTCCGAAAGTGCTCTTTGTACATAGCATACTTTTTATTATAGGTCGATGAGTATTTTTATGCGACTCTGAAACCGAGATGTCTTGGAATCGCAAGAAAAACGAAAAGCATAATAAGTCTGTTTTAAATATTTGTACGTGAAATAACTGGTCGTCGCGTAAAATGATATAACGAAGAAATTATAGAAAACTTCAACGTATTTGAATTATTTATTTGACCTATACCAAATATACAGGATGTCCCAAAAATGTTGTAACTCCTTGAAAGAAGTGATTCCAGGGTGATATGAAACAACTTTTCCCTTAGCGAAAAAATTCTATCTTGACCAAGCATTCGATTTAAAGATTAAAGAACGTAGATTAAAGTCGGCATACTGTTAACAACAATAAACGACCAAAACACTGTTAAAATCGCAATTGTTCAAAATAGTTGACAGTGAGTATCGTCATTCATACACCGTATAGTTCACTTTGGACAGTTCCTACTGCGTTATGAGGACAGCTTTCGGCTTGACAAAACAATAGATTTGAAGCTTAAAGAACGTAGATTAATACCCGTATATTGTTAATAACAATAAATGACCAGAACACTGTTAAAATCGCATTTAATCGCGGAATACCACTATTTTTTTGACCGGTGGCGCCACTCGTGGCGAATTGCTCAAACTGCTAGCCAAATTATACCGACAGGTGAGTGAAAAATTCTGCAGTTGGAAAAACGCGAATATCTCAGTAATTAGGCATTTACAATGAACGCTGTTGGAATCAAATTATTCCTGACAACCCAATGCATCGACTCAATACCGCAAACACCCAGAATTAGAAGTATTATGTATGTATATGTTATCATATGTCCTTACGGAGATAGCAATACATACATATTACTCCAACATGATTCAATCTTATTTACATGATTAAACGAACGCCGAATTTCTTCCTCCAGCACTAGATTTCAAGCTTAAAGAACGTAGATTAACACCCTTTATTGATTGATAAGCCATACTCACACGAACAGTGTGAAAATCACAATTCTTTGTAATAGTTGTTAATGAGTATCGTCATGCATACCCCGTTTAGTCCACTTCGGACAGCTCTTATGCCGTTATGCGGATAGCATTCATCTTGACCAAGCATTCCATTTGTAGCTGAAAGTACGTAGATTAATCCACTGTTATTGATAATAACAATAAACGACCAGAACACTGTTAAAATCGCAATTTAATCGCGGAATACCACTATTTTTTCGACCGGTGGCGCCACCCGTGGCGAATCGCTGAAACTGCTAACCATATAATTGGCTAGTAGTTTGAGCGATTCGCCACGGATGGCGCCACCAGTCAAAAAAATAGTGGTATGCCGCGATTAATTGCGATTTTAACAGTGTTCTCGTCGTTTATTGTTATTAACAATATACGGTGATTAATCTACGTTCTTTTAGCTTCAAATGGAATGCTTGGTCAAGATGAATGCTATCCGCATAACGGCATAAGAGCTGTCCGAAGTGGACTAAACGGGGTATGCATGACGATACTCATTAACAACTATTACAAAGAATTGTGATTTTCACACTGTTCGTGTGAGTATGGCTTATCAATCAATAAAGGGTGTTAATCTACGTTCTTTAAGCTTGAAATCTAGTGCTGGAGGAAGAAATTCGGCGTTCGTTTAATCATGTAAATAAGATTGAATCATGTTGGAGTAATATGTATGTATTGCTATCTCCGTAAGGACATATGATAACATATACATACATAATACTTCTAATTCTGGGTGTTTGCGGTATTGAGTCGATGCATTGGGTTGTCAGGAATAATTTGATTCCAACAGCGTTCATTGTAAATGCCTAATTACTGAGATATTCGCGTTTTTCCAACTGCAGAATTTTTCACTCACCTGTCGGTATAATTTGGCTAGCAGTTTGAGCAATTCGCCACGAGTGGCGCCACCGGTCAAAAAAATAGTGGTATTCCGCGATTAAATGCGATTTTAACAGTGTTCTGGTCATTTATTGTTATTAACAATATACGGGTATTAATCTACGTTCTTTGAGCTTCAAATCGAGTGCTTGGTCAAGACGAAAGCTTTCTGTATAATGCTATAAGAGCTGTTCGAATATGCACATACAAAAACAGAAAGCTTTTGGTGGGAATGGTGACAGATGGCGCAAAAGTTTCCTGCACAAACATCACGTTATTAAAATGTTGGAAGGTTATCCATACATTGGTAGTTATAGATTATAGATAAACATTAGTCCAACCATAATGTTTTATTAATGATTGAAATATCCGCAAAAACTTAGCATGTCTACTAGTGAATGGAAATGTCAGTACCGTCTACCTTTTGTATACTGTCGTAAATTATGGTAACCCTATAACATTAACAGTACGTATCTGGACAACAAAACTAATAAATTCTAGTTACACTAGCAGTTCGTTAGTGATTCCTTTTATCTTCACGAAATGTATACATTTTGAGTGCGTATCCTACCTTGATAAACATCATTTTTGGATAAATGTAAGTATCTTATTTCGACGACAAACGTCACTATAAAATATTTCAATTTCTTATAAATTCTTTTTGATTCGTAGATTACAATAATTACACCCCTGTGTTTGCAGTGTACATAAGTAAACAACGACAATATTGAATTCAACAAAGATGTCTGAGAAAACATCCCCCCTACATTACACTAGTATAAACGACCTTCTGCAGAAGACAAATATCAACTACAAGAATAAAAAACCAGCTCATATCTATAACAGATTACCTCAGATGTACAACATGGCTGAGGACAGCAGGAAGAATGGAAATGAAGAGGTTCAATATATTATGTTAAAGAGATGGTTAAATTCCATCGAATGGCTGAAAACTACACATGAATATAAAGATGACAAGACACATTCCTTACCACATATGCATGCGAATCAGGTGAGAAGTTGCGTATGCTTTATTAACCCTTTGCCGTACTTTGAAGAGTGTGATTCGTCATCAGAACTTTGTGCCGAACATGAATATCACAAGTCAGACTCATGGTCACAATTTTGGGCCAAACAGAAATGTCACTAATAAGTTTCGTACTGTCAATTTTGGTTCATATATTACGCACTAGGTATGTTTATGGTGGAGATAACTACTGATCGGGATAAGGGCTAGAATCTAAACAGTCTCAGCAGTAGGAAACTTAAACAGGAAACTCACCATTTCCGTGCATCTCTTTGGCCCGGATTTTGCCAGGCAAAATGTTACGGCAAGGGGTTAAATTCACTATAGGTAAATGCTTGCACTTTATACGATTTATTAAATTGCTTGCTACCTCGGAACTAACTTTATATATTGACAAACAAGAGATACATGTTCATATATCATGTTTACATTGCAGATCAATGAAGTAAAGAAAAAACTTGCAGACCTGAATGAAAGATTAGATAAGCGATACAAGCAGAATAGGAAAGAGAAATTGTTAGGAAAGAATAATAGTGTGGACAAAATGGATATTGATAATGTCACAGAAACAGATTCTTATATGACTCCAATTGACGAACCTATAAAATTACCAGAGACACCAACAAGAGATCCGTTGGTTGGTGACAATGAGGAAATTATAAACTGTAACCAGCTGTTTCCATTGGTTCAAGATATATATGGCAGATATTTAATTATTGATATTAGACCTAAATCACAATTTGAAAGTTCCAAAATATTGTGCAATCATTGCGTTAACATTCCAAGCAGTAAGATAAAGCTTGGGTAAGTATCTGATGCTCGTTTGTGTGGACAATAATACTACATTAAAATAACTTTTTTCTAATAAATTGATTTTAGTTTGTTAGCATCTCATTTCGAGAAATTCCTTCATAAAGACAAGAAAGCTTTAGACTTGTATAGACATAGGGGAGTGCAGTTCGTCGACGTTATAATTTTACTCGATTCGAATACATCGAGTAAGACTTTGACGCCAAACAATTCTTTAAGTATATTCAGGAAAATTTTGGAAAACTGGGATCCTGGTATAAAACATGGGAAGATTACAATTTTGGATGGTGGTTACGCAGAATGGATAACTCGTTATCCAGCATTCACGACAAACCCTAATATTTCGGAGCCGACGCTTAATAATACTTCGAACGAAATGTTGGATAACATCGAATACCCTGAATGGATACATTCGGATGAGGAAGATAGTATTAATAAAACACATGAAAATAAAACAGTTAATGTAAAGACTATAAATACGGAGAAGGTATCGAGGATAAATGTTTCAAGCGACAAAACGGATGTTTCGAGGAAATATAATAACAATTCATTGGAACCTCAATACAAAAGAACTTTGACTACAATAAAGCGAAATGATATTTCCATGAAACCAACTGTTGATCGTAGCAACAAACCAGTATCATCAGATACATTCGCGTCCGAAGCTAAAGCTGTACTGAAGCTAATGGGGCAACTGAACGAGCTCGCGAAAAATAAGCATAATTTGGAACAAGAGATTTTAGAACAAGAACGTGCTTTGTACATGCAGTACAGTTCCGAATACAAAAGCACAAACGAAGAAGAGCTTATCCGCGATAATTTAAAGATTTTGCGCCTGAAATTAGAAGACAAGGTAATAAACATCATACCATTGATATTTGGGCGGTGAATTATTTTCTGTATGATTCGTATAAAACAATTGATAGATTTGTGTTTATAAATAGCAAAAGGAATATGAGAAAGTTGAGAATGACCTTGCCAAGAATTACCCCAAAATGGCTTTAATTAAATTTAATCCTGCTGAGGAGCACGAAAAAGGCGCCCTAGATCTTAAACTTGGTTTGTTGAAAATGGGTATAAAAAATGTAGCCGCAGCACGAAAGAAATTACAAGAGTACGTACATTATATGATGTTGCAGTCGACTCCTTATTATTTGGTATCATTTTGTATGTTCTTATGTGATTAGGAAATCTATGAAGAATGATTATAAAGAATTATCAGCAAAGGAGAATGAACATAATATTCATCGAGAACCTCTGAAATCGGACAATTCGTCGTCTATGGGTAATTTGGAGCGCTCGTATTCTAGCCCAAATTTGCTACAGGTACGACCCAATTCAAACTCAACAGTCACTTAGTTAAAGAGTGTTGTATAACAATTGAATAATAATTAAAATTGTTCTATCAATCGTTTAGTTAATAGACCGCAAAGCACCACGAGTGGACAGAACATCAAAGCCACAGACACCATCGCAGAATCAAAATGGATCTCTCAGCAACGAGACTAAAGTGTCTCATGTTAGTTGGGCAAATCGCGAAGAAAGAATGAACCCTGTTCATGGAAGCGTGGTACGTATTACTATTCCAATTACTATTTCACAAATAATATTCCGATTTTTCTGCACTTACGCGCGAGTTACCGACGAACAGTTCTTGGACTCCGAATTCAACTTTCTGCAAATCAAATTCAACTTTTTATAGATGATATTGTACGTTGATGTGAATTTGATTTAAAAAAGGTAAATTTGATTTGCAAAAGGGTAAATTTGATTCGCAAAAAGTTGAATTTGTAGTGCAAAAATTGTGCACGTGCTTTCAATACACGTGGTTCGATCGTGACAGTCCGCTGGAAATAACATTCTGCAATCATTTTACCGAATATCTGTACCTTGCTTGGAGTGAAATATGAACTGATTTTTAGTAAGTCTGTTCATAAAATCATAAGTTAAACATTTTACGATTAAGGTTTACTTAAAAAATCGTGCGATTTTTATATTATACTAGAAGTCTGTCTAACGAAAACGCACGTGAGCATAGAAACATTCAGTTCCTGTAAGGTTTCTCAATCCAATTTGATCGAACCTTTCCCGAAGCATTGAATCATATGCGTTAGTATTTACGCGACTATCGTCACATTAATAACCGATACCCGTTCATTTTTTATTGAGCTTCAAAGGGACTATGATCCAATGCACGGATATAAAGTTTTAATGGTGTACTGTAGAATGTCGTGTCAGACTTTCTGTAATACTTCGAAACACGCGGGGGAACGTTTTATGATTAAATAGTGAATCGAAAAATGGTAAACTTATCCAGAAAATTTGTACCACAATTTAATGTTAACTATTTTCGAAAGGTAAGCAAACAAACGTTAAAAGTGATATTATCTTGAATAGATTTTATTATAGACTTCTTGAAAAATTAGATAAAACTGATGGTTCTCTAAACGAATTATGCAAAATAATAAAAAAAAATAATAACTAATTCTCGATTATTTGAGTTTTTATAAGAATAGTCACGGTGTTTAGTGTATTGACGATTCTATTACAGCATCCAGGTATCACAGGGTTAAAGAACTTGGGTAACTCGTGTTACATGAACAGTATTATACAATGCTTGAGTAATACAACGCATTTAGCTAAATATTTCACGGATAATTTGTACGCTGACGATCTCAACACAAGTAACGATAATAGTACACAAGGGCAAGTCGTGGAAGAGGTGGCCCAAGTAATTAAAGTACTCTGGAGAGGCCAATACAAGAGCATATCGCCTCGCGATCTAAAGGTTTAAAAGAATTTATATAAATTAATATTTGTTTTTTGCACGTAAAAACATTGAACTCCAAAACACTTTTTATTATTATCTATGATAATTGTTAGATCGCAGTTGGGCAGTACAAATTGCAATTCGAAAGTTACGAGCAGCAGGATTCCCACGAATTTTTGACATTCCTCTTAGACTGGATGCATAACGATCTGAAGAAGGCAAGGTTTTATATTTTTAAAACTACCTCTGTATTTGTGTGAATAGTGGGCTGATAGATCTGGATCGCATTGCATTTTACAGAAGTGCAAAGTCCCCTTGGAAATGACTGTTGCTGAAGAAGCATGGGACAAAGCAATGGGATCGCAAAGATCTATAATATCAGACTTGTTCTTTGGTCAGCTAAGATCTACCATAACCTGCAGTTTTTGTAAGCAGAGCAGTACTACGTATGAAACTTTCAATAGCTTGACAACATCATTGCCCCATTCGAATCGGTGTACATTAAATGTAAGTTCAAACATAAATAATTATTTGCTCTTCAATCAAATAAATTTACTTTGCTTGTGTAGGATTGTATATTGAAATTCGTAACTGGTCAGAAAGTAGTCGGATGGAAGTGCCCAAAGTGTCAGACGGCAAGAGAGGCTACAAAGAAATTTGATTTTGTGAAACTGGCACCTATCATAGTGATACATTTAAATCGTTTCGCCGAGAGCGGTGGTTGGCTCGAGAAAAGAAATACTGCTGTTGATTTCCCTCTCACAGGCCTTAACTTGAAGCCGTATTTAGTTATGGACAGCACTTCAGCAACCATCTCGAATATTCGTAGCTATAATTACAGCTTATATGCCATGTCTAATCATTACGGAACCATGGAAGGTGGTCACTATACAGCGTTTTGTAAAAATTCCAATCAGAATAAGTAAGTATATCTATATATTATTATTTACACTCACAGCTTGTTTTCCCTCCATTGAATTGTGTAACGAATTTTTTTGTTTAGATGGTACAAGTACGACGATCAAACAGTAACAGAAGTTTCTGTGAATCAAGTAAGGTCTCAGAATACTAGTGCCTACCTGTTATTTTATACATCCTTTTCGAGCAATATTATTTAGTATTAATATAAACAACCACTAGATATGCTTATGTGAATTTATTACTTAAATAGTCACAAGTGTTACGTGACGATTGTAGATATTAAATATTTTTTGTATGTATATGTATTAAATATGCTATAGGATGACGGCATCATTGAAGGATTGTTTGGTGCTGGGATACGCGAAGTATGTGTAAATAATGTAATGTACTTTATAAGTATACTAAAATAGCAGACTGGTTAACATTAAACGTGAATCAGAAAGTTATTTAATACTTATGTTAGTACTGTATTCCACTGGATTCGAGTAATATCGTTTTACTCTGTAATTTATCTATTTACTCACATTTCTTTGTATTCGTACAAATTAAATTCCTCCCTATTTGCGAATTATTTATAAAGAAAGTACTGTATGCATTATACAGGGAGCCACTGCACATTATATAATTTACTGTCTGTATCACTGTTTTGCAACATTGCACTTGCAACAAATAACAACCAGTCAACCACAACGACATATAAATAAACTGAATAATTATTACGGGGAATATTCTTAATTTTGCAACACTTCTAAACAATCACATTATACTATAGCAGTTGAGGTACTATTTTGTAATGTAATTTTTGTATGGACCTCCTGTAAGAACCAAATTAATGTTTAAAAACGTTCAACAATAAGCGCATTGTGTTCAAGTGCTATTCATGCTTGTGAAGTTGTTATTAATGAATTATTTATTATGCATCAGACACGATTATTTCTAAAGTGCCATTACTTGTGTGCTTATTTTATATATGAAATAAAATCTTTCAAGCTTATAAACTCACGAGAATTCGCCTTTATTTACAATTTACATTTCTTTCTAAATGAGCAACGATTCAAAAATCCTGATTTCCTATATCCTTTCAATTAAATAAAATACTAAACGTGGAATGTCTTTATTTATAATATTGCATTTTTTAAATTTTGTTAACCTGCCCCGCTAGGATCATGCATGTAATTTAAAACCTATACATATGCGTAGAGTATGACTACCGTTTTTTTAATTCAATATTAACTATGAAGGACCGATCTTCTTTCACTTCTAAACTTTCTCGAAAAATTTGTGCGTGTTGCCATGCGCAGTCTCCTTGGCCACCGGAAAATTTAACCGAAAGAATTATTTTTACTGCTCCCTCTAACAGGTCTGTGTAATAATCGGTACAGTCACTGATATGGATCACTACGGACCTACTTTCATCTGTGTTGTCAAAGAATGCTTTCAATTGCCATGTTACATTAGCTTCATGAAATACCTTTATCACAGTTTGCAAATAAAACTTCGATACACATAAGTTTGGATTGCTCACTACAAAATTCCATTTCACTTGGCCACACGTGGCTTCAGGAGAACGAACAAGATACACCATTTTCCAATCGTTCTCCGTTTTACGGAATATCCCGCCTTCTACCTCATTCACACCACTCTGCCAACCAGACATTTGTTCTAATATTCTACCCTCCCCATTTAGTACCTGATATGTGTCCTTAACAACCGAATAATTTAAGTGAAATGTTTCTCCGTTTTTCGAAATGTCCCAGGAATAGTTTCTTCCCGAAAATGCCTGAGAAGTATAGATAAACATATTTTTATTGTTAATTTATTTTTACTAACTTTATTAGTTGCAGTTGGTTGTTATACCTGAGAAACTTCTCCTCTTTGTAGTCTCCACTTGTACGAACCAGTAGATCTTTCTTGATAGTTGTCATGAACATCGGAATTCTGTTCATTCGGCATATGTATTAATTCTACGAGTTCTAATAATCTCCGCTTGATCAAGTATTCCCTACGCGAGGCACTGTAATTGGCGGCACACTGTCGGTGTCTGTTCAGTGATTCAATGAGTTGCAACAAATTATTTTCGCTACAGATATTTCTTCTTTTCATTACGCCTACTTGGTCCCGTGTATATCGCCACGTAACATCCTGTATCTCATCCTTTGAATATGCTATTATGTACGACAATTTCTTCTTCCAGCCTTTTTCATACATCAGAGGACGATCTATGACATCTTCGCATGGATCTAAATGAATCCATCTCTTTTCATGTATGGACCATACCTGACACATTAATTTATTTCTAACATATTACTACTGAATTCTAACTAAGATAGATTACTAAGTAATGAAAACAGAATGTCAAGATAATTGCCATTACACATACCTCTGTCCAAACATGATCTGTTTGGTCACATACAAATCTGGAATCGTATCCTAATGATCGGCAGAGTAGCGTGAATACATTCGCCCACTCTCCACAACGTCCGCGTCTCAAAGTCAGTAGCGGTTCTGGATCAAAGTAACGCGGAAATTTGACAAGTGCCTTGCAATTAGTACACCTATAACAATACACAGTTTTCTTCTTAAATTTCAGATACAGATATATCAAATCAAAAACAAAAAAACATTGGCATATTACTTATGTATTTCTATTGTTGAACATCTTGGATCTTCAGAACGTACAACGTCGTTATATTCACAACTACCTAAGCATGCAGAACAATTGGGACTATCAACCCATGTGAAGAATTTGTATTTAAACCAATGCATAACCTCCATGAGAAACAATTGCTCCGTATCAATGTCACTCTCTTTATATTGTCTCTCAGTGGGTTCCTCTAGACTCTCTTTGCTTAGCTTAATTCGTCTGAAAACAATCTAGTAAAGAAAGAACAAAAAAACATGAACTAATACAATGTATAATTCCATAAATAGTCATTACGCTTGTAGTTCTCTTATTCTATTCATGGTTGCTATCTTGAGCTCTGTTATAGGTATCAGCTTCCTAGCTTTCTTCTGTAGAATTGGATTATCGAAATGCATAATCCTTTGAAACTCATGGACAATTTTGGTTAAGAAAGCTCTTTCTTTCGGATCAGTTGTTTTAGGCAATAAATTATAGGCTGCAGTGTTGTCTACAGTAACTGTGCTTATGCAACATGTTTCAGAAAGCAGATTTTCTAGAGCCTGTAACTTAGAGAGCGATGCTTCTGGTGGTAAGATAAGAGAATCAGCTGCCTATTAAAACAAAATAGACAAAGATATGGTGACTGAATTTCGAAATTGTTGAATGAAATTTTGTCTGTTCTAATGGTAGTTACCTCAATGAATCCTATGTCAAATAAGCATTCCATGGCCCCAATAGCAGGAAGCAGTTTCTCAACTATAGGATCATCCAGACACACCTCTCTAAACTGTTTGTCATTCGGATGAGACAAGATGTTCTGACAGACAGTGAATAATGCACTTTCGGCATTGCATCGAACATTTTCATCGTTCTCCTTTAATAGATTCAAGCAACGTTGTAAATCTTGATCCATAACGAAACTGAACAATCATCAAGAATGACACGTGTAAACGCACGAGAAAAATGCAGCTACTGCAGATGTAACATGTATCGTGACTTTATCAATCGTTTTGTCAGCGCTCTTGATGACATTGCACTTAAGCATTTTGTTATGACGATTTACCGTGTGCTAGTCAATTACATATCATAGTTAGATAATTTACCATACAAACATAAATTACCATCAGAAGGCATTTACCATTTAATGGTAAAATATTATTTGAAGGTAACACCCTCTACAAATTCGTTTCTAACGACTTTTAAATCTGTTATACATTTGGAAATTAAAAAGGTTCATTTAAATCAAGCTATCAGACTAGTCATTAGTAAATGAAAAGAATAAAAAAAATACAACATATATAAATTGTACTCATTAACTTGTTCAATTGTGTAAATAAAGAACATTCTGCAATTGCTATACTATAAAATAAATTATTTAAAAAAAAAAACGACAAAACACTATAAATTTATGGAACACATAAATTACTTTAAAATGAGACCTGTTAAAAGCCATAAAAGTCCGTTCCGTTCGAAATGTAACGCGATGTCTGTGAACAACATCGAAGTCTATTCCACGTTACTGATATCGCGAAGGTGCATCGTATACGATGCAATAGAATGGCGGCGAGATAAGAAAACTATGGGCCATTGCAACCCCGAATGGTTCAGAACTGTGTATAACGTTTGTATGAGAACGACATCGTATATTCTCGGGACAAAAAATAATTCCGTGAGCTTATTAGCACCCGATGACTGGTTTGTCCCTATGCAATTAACAAATATAAAGAACAGAAATAAATTTATAACGAATAAGAAGAAGAAGAACAGAAAATTAGGGTACATTTTTTTTCGAAACAGAAACCTCTTCTCGCATTCTTCATTGGCGATTGTACTACGACCTGATTTTCTACGACGTCACTTTCTTTCAAACTCTGGACAATTGGTCGAAAGTGGAGCAGCCCCTTTGTTCCATTTTTGATTATGTATAGCCGCGCCAGCATCACATTCTTAAGATTGCCAACTCTCGGAAAGTATATGTTTCCTATCCCCACCTCGCTGGTTGTTCGATATCCCAATCTCGGGATAACCCAATATCTAAACAAACAGGAAATACAGTGATACCGGCGACAATGTAATCAGTGGCCCGAGTGAATCGAATACTGTACCGTCACGAGATACATTTCGTATGCTTGTTAGCGTCAGTCTTTTTTAGTAAGGTCGAAGGCGGATGGACCTGAGGCGTTATTTGGCCCTTGAACGATTTCTGCCGTTTCGATTATTGAGATGATTTATGGATTTTCGTAGGGTTTCAGAATGCCCTGTGGTTTTGAAAGAGGATACACACCGTCCTAAACAGACCTGAAAAAAATAAAGAAAGCTTCTTATGTTTTTCTTTTTTTAAAGTCCTTGTATAATTTATCCTTGTAATAATTATATTTTTTCATGTCCTTTAATATATTGTACTTTGGTAATTTAACTTTGCAGATATTATTGTATAATCATAGCGTAACACTTGAAAATCTAGTCTCTCATTTTTCTGATGCTTTTTTGTCCCTTTCTTTGGGAATGTTGGTAGTTTTTGTACAAAGTGTAATAAAGGAACGCGAAAATTTCTACAGAGAGACCAGAAATTTGTGTAATTGAACGCGCACAAGAATAAATTACCGAGTTCACGCGGAAATAAACTCGATGGACAAACACGATGACCGGAGCGGGGCGTCGAGTGGCACAGATGTTTGCAGTCGCACAATTTTGCTGATTTCATGGAAGTTACGTGCGAAACACACATTCGCCGTTTCGAAGTGAAGCTATATCGAATTAAAATAAATTCACATTACTGTGGCCTGCGAGCCGCTCCGATAACATTCGATAAATCGGTAAACTTCGATTCGACTGTCGATTAAATGTAATATTTTGCAGTAGTAACGTGATATTTTCAAGAAGAACAATATTATTGGCATAGTAACCTGCCAAGCGCATACTTTGTTGCCATAGCTCGAGCTTCGGGCAAAAAATAAATTTACGAGAGTCTGAAGCATTTCTCCCTATAAAATTATTGTCTTGGTGCGGACCCGAGTTCGGAACGATAATCGAGTGGAGTCTGTATATCGCATCTGGCAGATAAAAAATGATCGGAACCCGTCAACTTCTTTCCGACGTTAAATACGGGAAACGAAATAATGGAAGAAGTTCCATATATGTTGGGTGGTATAGGTTTCAGAATACGGTATTGCTTTCAGAAACCAATATTTCAACGCGGCGGATGAAGTTTCCTACAACGTATCGTTAATCGGTTTCAGTTTCGCGCGCAAACATTCTAAACTGGTAAAAAACTACAGGAAAAATTTCGAACGATATTTATAGACCACTGGCCGGGAACTGCAAAACTGAATTTAATCTGAAAGTTTGTAATTCAAATTTATCGAAACTTTTATGAGAGGGAGAGAGAAAGAAAGGAAATAATTAAACCGTTTATTGGAATAATTCGAACTTACGGGGATTACTTTTATATCGGTACACACACACATATATACACGTTGCACAATCATTTTCTAAGCGTCCCCCACCTCTCCCCTGTGTTAATTAATTCTCCTTTCAGGCGTCGCTTCTTCTTTGTCCCTCAAAAATTTCACTGAGATTATCGCGTACTCGACACTCGCGCGTTTCTCACATTTAAGGCACTTTTCCCCCATCCAATCCCCTTCTCTCGCCTTTTGTCCCGTAATAGTTTTCTTCTTTCTCGACATCGGTCTTCACCTTTCTTTTTTTCTTGCATTATCTTTCGCCAAGCTGCCCCTTTATCTTCTCCGTACTTAACTCTGAAAGTTATTTAAACCTGATCCCTACCAGTTTTCAATACCAACCTGAAAAAGTTCGTTATTTCACGATTGCAAAAAGTAAATCATAAATGTATAATAAACTCTTCTGTTTCGCTGAAATGAGATCTCGATCGGTGAAATTTCCATTCCCTTCTGTTGAAATATCGGTCTAAAATCTTCAATTCTTATGTATTGTGGTTAAAATAAAAATATACCACGTATTCCATGTCGGAAATCGTGCGTTGAGAAATAATGCTTTTCCAGAAAAGGATAGACTATATATATTCCCCAGAAAAAAGCGGTTCGTTTTTATTTCAGCCATAATACATGAGGATTGAAAATAGAGTGATTTTATAGTTACGCCAAGCAGTGAACATTGGTTTCATTAAACTATAACTTAAAAAGAAAAATTGATAACGTTTCTTTTAGGACACCCTTGTATCACCTGAAAATTCGCTTGGCCACTAGTGCTCATGTCTCCCGATTAATTCGTACCGTCGAGCCTCCACATTGTGTACGGTAACGAGAACATTTGCGAGGCAAATGATTCGCCCCCACCTCTTACCAGTTTACACAGTTCCCACAAAGCCCCCCCCCCTCCTAGACAAAAATAAAAATAGTAAGGCGCGTCGACGGTGGGCAAAGCCTCTTTCTCGCGCATAATGATCCGTTGGTCGCATCCGTGGCTCCAACAATGAAGATCGATAATTCGAAAAGGTCGAGTAGCCGTGGCTCGCTGGTAAAAAGAATTCGCGAGGGCGGCCTACGGGGGGATCTCTCCTTGAGAAACACGCCCCGTAGACGACGGGGGCCCGTATATTTCAAAGGATTCCGTGACAATTCTCGCCCAGCCAGGCACCCGAGAGCTTTGTTATCGCAACTCGCCTTTCTCTGCGGGTATACACACCCGCCCGCCTCGCACACTCGCCCACTGTATATCTGGATATACTAGGTCACTGCTAGCCAAACCGTCGAATTTCACACACCGATTCCCTCGATGACTTGAACTTCGATCGTGCGCCCGAAATGTTTATCGTTTCGAACGTACCGTAGGGGCGGTAATTAATTCGGGTGTGGTGATTGGAACAGGAGTGGGCAGAAACGTATGCGACTGTGAGAATTCTTTCAAGATCACTTTTCCCTATTCTTAGATACACAGGTTCAATCATTTTTGGAATTAAATAGTCGAATAAGATGACCAGAAGCAACGCACTGTGTGTTCGGATAATAGAGACAGCGCCTAATTTTGAGAGACCTTTCGCGTCCAATTAGAGAGGGAATCGAGGTATGCTGCGAATGGACGTACCTATCGGATACTTGCGCGCACGTGGACACGCAGCATTAGACTTAAGCTCGTCTCTACAGAGGAACACGACACTTCGGTACCAAACTCGTTTGGTGTTTCCATCCGAACAGTTATCGAAACAATGAGGTGTTTTCCTCCAATTAAAACGATCTTCTTCTTCTCGATTACACTGACGCTTGGCTGATGGTGCCCCGTAAGCAACGTTTGAAATGCAAAAAGCGACGCGTCTCGGGTATTAACGCAGCCAGGTTTTCCACCGTGTAAACGAACGGCAAATCTCTCGGTCGAATAAACGTACGCGACCAACATCGCCCCCTCTCCACCACCTCTTCCCACCTCTCACCCGACACAACGGGGTTTGAATATTGAAAATTTATCGGATGCTGAATAAGTGGATGAACTCGCGCACGAGGCCGGGGCTATTTGTCGGAAATTGAAATATTGAATTTTGCATGCACGTGCCGAGGACTGTGTCGTCGAAATTCGCTCAAGCTCCACCCCCATCCATCGGTTTAATACCGAATGTCACGTGAAACATTAAAAGACGTGGATGATATAACCGGCCTAGTGACTTCTTCATACGTCTGGAACACTTAACGGGATAGATTTGTACAGAGTCGATCCCCAAAATTGATTCATATTACGTTTAACATTCTATTCCAGGTAATCGTGTGTCCGATCGTCCTCAATCAAATTGATTTTCCCGAATACTTCTGAAACACATCAAGATGCAATATTAACACAAGTACAGTAATAATATTCTAAAATAGAAACGACGGACTCTTTAACCGGAATTCATTTTAAAAATACACAACTCTCGGTTTTCCTTAAGAGGACTAGGCATTCCTT